CTAGACACCAGTCTTTTAGTACTAGACCACTCCAGTATTACATTAAAAAAAGCAGTAATACAACCAATTACAGCTGCTGAACAATTTTTCAAAAACTCATTTCTAACCAAATCTACACCACATGCCTTATTATTCTTTAGTTTCTGGATAATCTTTATAACTTCATCAACCGAGATAGGGGCATTCAGCTCATCATTGCCCATTGACTGGTCAAAATCCACATAATGTGTTTCAGATGCTGCACATTGCACATTATTCAAACTACTAAAATGATGCACAAAATCATCTAAAGAGACCTTGGCTAAACAAGAGCTACGCTTTGGTCCATCCAAAAATTTTCAATATTCTTGTGGACTATCCTTCTTAAGTATATGAAGATTGTTGTGTAAGAGCCTAGTGTACGCTTTTTCCTTTCTACGTAGCAGTTTCCTATAATCTTTTGCAACAGCATTAATTTCAGCCATCTTTTGTTCTTCATCACTCAAAGTTAGACCTTTGCACTGTCGTTTAATTCTATTCTTTAGATTGAAATAACTTGATCTGGCATGCTGACACTCTGTGTCAAACCATGGTTTCTTCTCCACAATAAGTTTCCTTGAATTAATCTTCTTACAGACTTTATCCTCACATATACCAACTTCCTTTGCCGTCTTCAAAAATGAATTTGCCAATGCAGTACTAAAATTATCCACATTACCTTGTGTCGATGACTTCTCAACCATTTCCAATGCATTCATCAGTACTGGAATACTTTGATCAAGTTTCAACTTATATTCAGATGCCTTCTCTTTAGAACACTTAAATGAAGTGTATTTCACTTTTTCGGAAGCATCAACCCTATTTTCAATTTTTCTCAATTCAACACCTTCATTTATAGGAATTAATTTATTTGAAAACATCAAATTCAATGGACAGTGTACATCTGAAACACACTTATCAAAAATGTCAACCTCAAAATGAGTAATATATTGAAATAAACTAACAGATGCAATGACATAATCAACCACACTTTTCCCTCCATTTTTATTGTAACATGTGAAGCTACCAACACCCTTATCACTACCAAATCTCCCATTCACTATCTTCAAGTCAAAACTCTGACAAATGCCAATAAGCTGTCTACCATTATTATCTTTAGAAGAATCCACATTATGCCTCTTAGTATCATATCCATCATCAGTAAGTGAGCTCTTAAAATCAACATTTTCATTTGAAGAACAATTATCTGAACATTCAGAAATAACATTGTCAATTACCATAAAGTCGTCAAGTAACCCAGTCCTTGAATTAAAGTTTCCTACTAGGCTGAAGGGCACATTATGTGCTTTTCAAATATAATAGGTCCTGATAAAGGTGATCAAAAACATCATTATTATGATAAACTGACCCTTCACACCGCAAATAAACTGCTCCTAATATAAACTCAAAGCCTAAACAAAATTCTTCAAAATTAATCCACATAATAGATTCTGAGGTAGTGCCCAATATTCTAGAGGTATGAGATGAAATGTTTTTTTGAATGAGAATACAAATGCCATGAATACAACCATGTCTACCCACACCATTCTTTTCCAAAATATAGCTTTGATAATTGTTGAAGTAAGAATGAGAAAAATCAGGTCTATCAGTTTTAGTTTCAAGAAGACAAATTACTGAATGGTCTCTCAACATCAAATCAATGACTCCTGCTTCTAATTTGCTGTGAATCCCATTGACTTTAATGCTGCATATAAGGAAACAGATGCAGATACGACGGGGTTTGCTTAGGATGTTCCGGGAACCAAAGGGATCGATCTTGAAGGCAATGAATTGATCGATGGCTACCAGGAAGATACTTCCAGTGGATACCAAGTGCGAAGCTCGGTAGGGTATTGCGATTGCATATTTCCAAATGGTATTGCCAAACTGTTATGGAAATAAAATAACAAAGGTTTTTTTTTTTACACCGACGTTATTGACTCCAGACCAACAACTACAGACCGAGCAAGAATTTGTATAACGAAAACTGGCTATTCTAAGCAATTCGGAGGGATTAATATAGGGCCTAATGTTTTGTCTGTTGTCGGCCTCGCGTCGGTCTTGAGGCCGGTCTTAGCCATTGTAAATAGTGTAATGTTGTGTTCTGTCTATTGCCGGTCTGGTTCATGTGACCAGGCGCGTACGCAGGGGGGGGGGGGGGGTAACCCCCGTTTCATTTTTTATGTGTGTATTTTGGACATAACCCCCCCCCCCCCCCCCCTTTGTATTTTTTTTTGTTTAATAAAAAAAAAAAAAAAAAAAAAAAAAAAAAAAAAAACTTTCCTCTTACCCCCCCCCCCCCCACTTATTCAGCGGCTGGCTGATTCGTTGCGGAAATTTTCGGCCCGATTTAACAATGTTACCCCCCCCCTTGAAAAAATCCAGCGTACGCTACCGGATGTGACTGAGGTAGGCTACAGGTTAGCGTTGGACAAGGTCTGTTTGCAATATAAGTTGTGCCATGTTTTTGGGCCGATTTAGAATTTCCTGAGTTTCTTTTGATTAGTTGTGAAAAATACAAACGAAATCTAATAATAGCGGTTGCGTAAGAGATCGCTAGAGAATTATTAAAGAAAAATCGAACGTCAGAAGACAATTTCTTTAAAAGAAAGCAGCACAAAATCAGTAAATCAGAAAAGGGGAGAATTTCAATGAAATCGGTCAAAAAATAAAAAAGTGACCATTTTTTAAAGTGATAATCGCAAAATAGCTAAAGTTACATTTTCCCACAAAATCAGGGTCTTTTATTTTTTAGTGGATCTATAATAACATGATATCCGTACTACATGTTGAGTAGTGCCCAAAGGGAGAAGGCACTTAGAAGAAAAACATAAATTAATGATATTCTTGTACACGACTAATGGGAGAGTTGTCCATACTCTACACGCCACAATCCAGTGATCAAATTGCCAATTTGAGATTCATATAGATAATGTGATCTCATTTAAAAAATATTCAAAACTCTCTGTTATTGGTCCGATTGATATCAAACTTTCGCCATGCTGATATTTCTTCTCATTTATTTTTGCCTTTATAGCACTAACGTTATTACGAAGATTGATTTGCCGTCTAAGATCCTATTCTTCACATGAAATATTTTTCTTACAAAGAATAAACTTGAACGAACTTCACCTGCCTAAACTGGGAGAGCTCTAATTATGCAATTATTACGAGTTTAATCAAGACAATGACAACGCTTCTACACTACACTTGGATGTCTACTAGCCTTCAAATAAAATCATTGGCGACACGCAAAAAAAGGTTTGCCTTTCCGTAAAGCATGCATGGAGCAAAGAGCAAAGTTTTTTTCAGGGTACCCTATCGAACCGACAGCCGAGAAGAACCAGACCGATAATGTTTAACTTTAGTAAAACCTTAGTCAGAAATCTTGTGAGAATGTCCACAAGACCCGTATAGTGTCAGTCTCGTGGGTTTTGGCAATTTGGTATACAATATCCGTTATGCATGGAAAAGGTAAAGTGTAATATTGCCCCTCTTAACCATTGCCTTTAAATATTACGAATAAAGCCGAACATCGAGGAAATTAAATTTGCAGGAATAATTATAAGGTCCTGTAAGCGTAGACCTCCAACTTACCTCCACGCCAAACATCGATTTGGCATAGTCTGCGAACAAGGTAGAATTCAACACGCAATCAGCGAGAACAATGTTGAACGGGAAGATGTTGTGTTCCTTTCGAAGTCGACGATGACAGTATATTATGAGCATCGTGGAGATCGTGAAAACAATACCAATGGCTTGAGCAACCCCCGACGCATGGTTAAGTGCATTGAAAGTCGTCTCTCGACAACCATGCACCGATTTGAAGTCGTAATCAGCGGCCACAAACGGTATCGTAATTTCATAAAAGGTGTTGTTCAGGTCGATATCCATCCTATCAATACATTTTTATTTAATGATACTGTGGTATCAATAAAATTATTCTTTAATCGGCTGTTGTGACGTAGGGGACCTGAGCATGAATAATCACTGGAGCTTTTCAATCCATAATCTATCGTCAGATGAATATGTTTATTAAAACGTAGTGTGGCGGCATCCAATATTTGACTGCTTTCTTGCATGGTTTAACCAGTTTTGACTTTCAAAATATACAACAAAAATAAAAATGAATGTATTATTTTTTGTGCCTCGTGATGCCATAATCATAGAAATTCATATCCGTTGTTTTGGTTTCCCTTCCAAATTTCCTTGTATGAGAGTGGTTCAAATTGCATGAAATTGGAAAGATATAAGAGAAATTAAACTCTTTCCTTATACAGTGTGAGTCAGAAAAAAGTTTACACGTAGGAAATTGCTAATTATTACAAATTAATAAATCTATGAACAGTAAATTATTATACATCTTATGAAAGAGTGTTTTATCCCAACTCATTTGATATCATTTGTGTGTGGTATGTGTTCACGCTTGGATGAACAGGAGACACTGTTCAAGAGACTGCAAAAATCGACTTGCGCCAAAGTTTATTATGTGATGTTTGAATAAAATAATTAGGATTTGGGTATTGATTCGGTCTTTGCAGATCCAAATAACATTCCTAACAAAATTAATCAGGCCACACAAATCAAATAGGAAATATCAAATATCAAAGAATATTTGTGCACGCGTGCGTGTGTGTGTGACATTTTGCTTCCGCAAAAAGCATATGCAATGCATCTTATTTGATACATTCAATTCATTCTCTCACTTTAATACTTGTGCGCAAATCAATTTTTGCACTCTCGCAAACAATGCCTCCAGTTCATCCGAGCGGGAACACATGCAACACAAAAATGATAACCTTTCGTTCATAGCTGACTTTTAAAATAAATGAAAATTCACCTATATCAAGCCTGAGCTCTCTTTTTACGCACTTTTCCAATATATCATTATTTGTCATAGATATATCACGCAAATACATATTTTTTTTTGACAAAGAACACTAATGAACAATTTATTCATACAAAACAAGTGATAATTTTGACATAAAATCAAAAGCTAATTATATTATATTCCATTCCATAAGATATTATACACAAAGACCCAGACAGAACATAACAAAATAACTGATGTCACATTGCTCAACCAAATCCACTGATTCTTTGCAATTCGTTGTAACAGATTATTCTGTTACTTATGCTACGGTCACAAAGGTTCGTACGAACGATAATCTCGTACGAATCTCCCTGTTTTTCCATTGCCTTCCCGAATTTCCATTGTCTGAAAATCGTTCGTACGGCGTTCGTAGCAGTTCGTAATGACATTTGTGACCGAGGCTTAAAGTCTGTGGACAGTCTTGTTGGTGTGACCAGGGTATTTCGCAAATGGCCCGGTTATGAGTCAGTATTGGGTCAGTACAATAACCGAGTTATACAATGTACATGCAAGCCTCTTGTTGCTGTTGTAGCAAAGCTTTCAAAGAGAGAAAGGAAAAAAAGGTGCCAGCATGACATCAGCCAAAAATTTAGCTGTATCCCAGAAACCAGTGCATGTTCCACATTTGATCCATATTTCAGAAAGACTAACATGTCACATGTACTCTAGCTACAAAATCTATTAGGAAAAACACAATATTACCTGTAATAAGAGATGAAATCAAACTCAACCAGTGACAAAGAACTTTTTTTCAAACATACATAACAAAAACAAGCACCCAAAATTGAAATCCCGACTATATTAGGGTTAAATTACGATTAATTCTATTTAGTATTTTCTTAAAGTTTGTAGGCATGGATTAAGAAACATTACATTAATGATAAGCATATTTCAATTCCTTCATACATGTACTATCATACAGAGTTTTTAAATTGTTTGTGATATCTATTAAACGAGTCAGAGGCAAAGCAGATTCTTCAAAAACCAAGGTAAAATAGTAAAAATTACATTTTTATCTCATATAATTACGTAGGTAAGGTGGAGATCTCCAATTAGTTTCACCTGACACGAATGATTTTGTCCTTCAGACAACTTCAAACGAATAGATTCTTCAACTATTGAAGGTAATTTTACATTAAAAAAATTGTACACTTTGTACCATGACATTTATAATACTATACAATTAGCCTCTGAGTTTATGAAGAGCAAGTACAGTTGTGTAAGTAATTGCAAAAGCTTAAATCAAGAATATACAACCATTTCCCATGTATCAAATAAGTTCCGGTCTAAGCCAGAATTTATCTCCAGTATTCCATTACGTATAGGCCATTTCACTGTTGTAGTGAAAACGGTGTGACACGTGTGTGACTGTCTACATTTATAATAGAAATGTCCGGAACTGGCGGACGCCGTCACGGTGGCCGTGCGGATGAAGCACTACTCGCAATTTGACGTCTGATGTCACTGTTGAGGGAAGTTGCGAACCCGAATCCCAAAATCTGAAGATTTGTAGAAATGTAGAAAGATGATCAAATAAAACAGTCATAAATGAGAGTAAAGATCAGTCAAATATAAATATAGAATTTTGACATGATCGATGGTTCTAAAACTTCATGATACATAATTATACCTTTGTACTACAAAACCAACCCCGATAATTCTCGATAATTACCTTACTGTTTTTCCTCTTCGCCAGGCAATCATACATCCAGAACTAAACATGATCCTTTAGTAGAAATTGTGTTCAGTAGTCAAAAGACACTCTATTTTTTAGTAAGGTTCACACGACACTCTGTCGACTTAACGTTTAGGTCACTGTTTTAAATTCGTGAGGTTATAGGGTATTTACACATCGTGCAGACGCGCACGTGATCCCGAAGCTTTTAGTATAAGTGTTAATCCTAAAAAGACTGTGTGTGTGTGTGTGGGGCGGGGGGCTGATTTAGCGGCTCGTTGTAAAAATGTTAGAGGAAAAAAAATCAGAGTTAAAAATGTCAGACGTAAAAAATGTCAGAGGTGAAAATGCCAGAGGTAAAAATGTCAGAGGTAAAAATGTGAGAGGTAAATATATCGAAACAAAAGCATTTTACAGGTTGAATATTGGTAATGGTTGTGTATTATGCTTATCGAAAAAAAATAACAAAGGATTTTCTGCAGTCATTATTTCAGCGCTGCTTTATTTTCTCACAAATTGGGCCCCCTCTTTGGCCCCCTCTTTGGCCCCCTCTTTGGCCCCCTCCCCTGCCGCCGGCTGGATTCGCCCCTAGTCTTGGTATCAGGAGGTGATTGGGGCACAAGTGCCATTTGGTAAAGCATCAATATCTAATAACTTAGTCCTTCAGGGTGAGTCTTAGAGTGGGAATCCCCCATCAATCAATTTCCATTCAAGTAAAATTGTTTGCTATCGTGGTATTTTGGTAGAACATACATGCGTGTTTTTTATGTTCCCAGTAAAAGTTTACTACATATATCACCATCATTATCTTTATCACAATGACTAACACCACCAGTGTAGTAATCATCCTTAACATCATAATAATCAACATCCTTCTCATCCTCGTCTTCATTATCATTACCAACATCTTCATAATCAACATCTTCGTCACCACCCTCACCATTATCACTGTCATTGCCAGTTGTTATTGTCATCATTATCTGCACCAGTGCTATCTTCTTCATCATCATCATCTTCATCATCAGCACCACCATCATCACTATCACTGTCATTGCCAGTGTTGTTATTGTCATCATTATCTGCACCAGTGCTAACATCTTCATCATCATCATCTTTATCTCAGTACCACCATCATCACTATCACTGTCATTGCCAGTGTTGTTATTGTCATCATTATCTGCACCAGTGCTAACATCTTCATCATCATCATCTTTATCTCAGTACCACCATCATCACTATCACTGTCATTGCCAGTGTTGTTTTGGTAATCATTATCTGCACCACTACTAACATCTTCTTCATCCCCATTATCATTATCACTGTAATCTCACAAACATCTTCAACACCCTCATCATCATCTTTATTTATCATCACCAACATCATCACTATCACTGCCATCGCCAGTGTTGTAAGTTTCATTAGTATCAGGATCACCACTAACATCTTCTTCATCCTCATTATGATATCCCTCCTCCTCCTTCTTATCCTTTATCATTGTAAGCTTACCAACATCACCATCACCATCATCATCATCATCATCATCATCATCCTCATCTTCTTCATCACCACCATTATCACTATCACCGTCATTGCCAGTGTTGTCATTGTCATCATTAGGAACACCACTACTATCATCATCATCATCATCATCAACATTATCACTTTCGGCACTTTTAGCATCGTCACCTCTATCATCTAACACCATTAATGATATAATCATAGCAATCATGCACAATGAAAACATCACCAAAATGTAACAGTTGCCAGTCGGACAATGCTTCAAGGTTCACCTGTACAAGTAGTATGGCACCAGCACTCACAGCTACCACTACAACATTGGTGGAAAGCCACGCCTTCACGGCGGAGATGCATCCCTGCTCATAGATCTGGTCTGAAAGACTTCTACGCTATAAGGAAAACAGTCAAATGAGGGTAAATATTAATATTAGTAACTACAGTACTCCCATGGCGAATATTACTTATTTATCAATGTCTCTATATGCTTTCGAAAAGCTTTGTATTATTACTCTGGCTCAGCCTACATGTAGCTGTCCTAATAAAGGGCTTATACAAAGAGGAAGTTCATCCTGATATTAAATTGGTTTTAAAAGAAGCAGGACAATTAAACAAAAAATATTGATAGTTTTAGCAATATCCAATTGAAAATTGACAAGTTGTGAATTTTTAAATTTTTCATCAGTGAAACACAAATTTGTTAACAGTATGAGATATTTTGCAAGCTCCTCTCCAATTTGCTCTGTACAGAAAATTTCACAAACTTTCATTTTTTTAGTTATTAATGACCACTAGATAAATATAACAATGTAAACAATTTTTGTAATCCAGAACTTTCAGAGTTTATTTCAGAGCTTAATATTCTCCGCTGTTTTAGCAAACAGTCGTATCTTTTTCATTACATTTCATCTACAACAGCAAAAGGGTAGCCGATATACTAAATTGCTGATTATAAATTCTCAGAAGATATCAAACAGATAGGTAATGACTTTTAAATAGACTTCCGATAATAATAATAATAATAATAATAATAAAAACTTTACTTTATATAAAGCGCTTACCACCGAAGTCTCTAAGCGCTATAGCACATACAATAGACTGATAAACAATTACATCAGACTTTTTCCAGATGCACTATAGATTCCCTGAATCAGGCCGATTTGTTTCATGGACCATATATAATTTTACTCCATCAAACCACTCGAATACTAACAATTTAGGATGATCTTTCTCATGCTACAAATTGCACCTTAGTCACATTAACAAACCAACTCCGAGCACACTTCAAACCGACTCCAACTCAACCGATTCTTCACCATTAGAGATGATGAAATTTCTTGTTCAGTCTGGTGTTGGTCTTGCCGGTGTGACTAAGGTATGATTTATGTATCCTGATGTTTACCTGGTCTTCAGCTCTCACACCATATCCACACTGTGTATTGATTACATCGGTAGTATCCTGCAAGAGAAAGAGGGACAGGGACAGGGAGAAAGAGAGAGAGAGAGAGAGAAGGAAAGGGGGAATGCACAAGATACAGAAACGGAGAGAGATGACAAGGAGAACAAGAAAGAAAGGGAACAAGAGGGAGAGAGAGAGGGAGGGAGAGGAAACAAGAAAGAGAAATAGATAGAGGAAAAGATGACAAGGGGAACAATAAAGAAAAGGAGCAATTAAAAGGGAGAAAGGTTGAGAAAAAGAGAGATAGAGAGGGAAAGGGGAGAACAGGGGAACAATAAAATAAACGTTTCAGTTAGAAAAATTAAAATTAAAATAAACTACCATTTTTCTTTACCCAATGATTTGCTTTTACCCAAAGCTACATTGCCACTGTAAAGCAGACATTTTAAAACAGATTTTTCAACTTTGGAAAGTCTAGATCGTCAGTAATCAAGGACATATCGACTGATCCGAGATTTGAATCTGTTTTTTCTGTTCACATTGTGAAACGTCTCCAAGAAATTACGGAGGAACTCAAAACACACAAGGCATGCATTCTGGATCTGGACTATACATCTACATTGAAGAGTACCGACATCAAGACTCTTCAGTCACACCTGGAAGTTCGGAGAAACACCATCGACTCTTTATCACATCGGCTTGGTATTGCCTGGAACAATATACCAGAAGGAAATCCCTTCGTTTCTTTGGCATAAAGGAGTCGCAAGGAGAAAACACGGATGACGTCATCATCAAGTTATCTACAGAGATCTCACCAAGGATGACCTTGACCGTACCCACCATGTTGGGCCTGCCAGGTTTCTCTTTGATGATGACACCAATATCCTCTACACATCAAATGATATTGGGTCTTTATATAGCGCGCTAAATATTGCATTGTGTCAAGTATCGAATTTGTTCAAATGCAATAGATTAATCTTGAATGCTGGAAAGTCAAATTTTATATATTTGCATTCCAAATATAAACCGGTTTCTACAGAGCTCCTCAATTCATATCATATAACAATGGAAGATAACATTCTCAATCGTGTTGCTAATACCAAGTTTTGGGGTAATTTTAATTGACGAATACTTATCCCGGAGAGCACAAAATAAATATCCTACACCATAAAGATAATGTCTAGGAATAATGGTGTCATCAGCAGACTCTGCCATACCTTGCCTCAATATGTTCTCCCTATGTTATACAATACACTTATACTACCGTTTCTTAGTTATTGCAAGATTGTTTGGGCAAATATTTACCCAACCAAACTGCATCGTATATGTATTCTACAAATGAGGATTGTAAGAAATACATCTCATTATCAAACTCATTCAAGACCTCCTTTGAGAAAAAAACTTAGTATATTAAATGTTTACAAGTTAAATGAATATATGTGTGCAATACTTATATTTCAGAATGAAAAAAGTCTGCTTCATAAAAACTTATCCAATAAGTTTATAACAAACACTGCAATACATAACTATGTTACCAGAAATAAGAAGAAATATCATCGATGATGTGTAAATACAAAATTTGCATCAAATTCTTGCAGACATCATGCACCTGAAATTTGGAACTTGCTTCCAACTAATATAACTTTATTCTCATTCTACAACAGTTTAAAACGTTATCTCAAAAGTTTCTTGATTTCGTGCGCATAACTCTCATTTAATGTATTCATGTCTCTCTCTTTCTCTCTTTTCCCTCTCTTCTCTTTTTCCACCTCTACCACTCACCCTATCTCTCTCTCTCTTCTCTTTTCAGCTCTCTCTCTCTCTCTTTTCTCCCTCACATTTCTTCTTTGCGGTTTTGTTACTTTTGCATTCAATGCAAAAGTAAACTGAAGTGAACTAAATAGTTGCCTTTGCAATAATAGTAGGAGACCAGCCTGTAGGTCCCGAGACCAATTTTTGGGAACAAAGGTTAGAAAGTGTTTTTGTGTTCCCTGATGAACACCGAACAATTTTGACTTGGGCTGCCCCCTTGAAAATCCCGGGCATTTTCGTGAGGGGTCAACAAAGGTCAAACAGGGATCGAAATTCAAATATATTCAAATCGTGTCGATATGCATATCAAATTACTCCTCTGGTCATGAGAATTCCAAAAATATATAGTTTGCTATACATCCGACCTTAAATGAGGGCGCTATAGTCAAAAACGTTGAAAGGTCAACTGGTGGTCAAATTCACCAACACAGTTAACCTTATCAAATTGCATATCAAATTATTTGTCGGGTCATGAGGATTCCAAAAATGTATAGTTTGTTATACCTCCGACCTTAAATGAGGGCGCTATGGTCAAAAACGTTGAAAGGTCAACACACTTTTGACTGGTGGTCAAATTCACCAACACAGTTAACATTGTCTGATTCTAATGATTTTAGTGTCTAATAATATGTTTTCTGACAGGGCAAATTCAATTATACAACTTTCAAAAGTAAAAGTACTTACCTTGACCATGAACATTCAAAATGGCTGCCGTTTTGGTGACAAACATTTAACAACTTCTTATCCATGGGTTTGGGGGAATTTCAAGGTTATGGCAACCACTTTTGATTTTAAAAGTTGCTTAGCTGAATTTTTTATGTCATGAAACACTATTAGACACTAAAATCATTAGAATCGGACGATATGTTAACTGTGTTGGTGAATTTGACCACCAGTCAAAAGTGTGTTGACCTTTTAACGTTTTTGACCATAGCGCCCTCATTTAAGGTCGGAGGTATAGCAAACTATACATTTTTGGAATCCTCATGACCACACGAGTAATTTGATATGCAAATCGACACGATTTAAATATATTTAAATTTCGATCCCTGTTTGACCTTTGTTGACCTCTCACGAAAATGCCCGGGATTTTCAAGAGGGCAGCCCAAGTCAAAATTGTTTGGTATTCATCAGGGAACACAAAAACACTTTCAAACCTTTGTTCCTAGAGATTGGTCACGGGACCTACAGGCTGGTCTCCTACTATAATCCATACTGACTAATCACAAAACACGGCCAGCTCTCAGTTGTGAATCGTTTAATTTTCAACCCTACAATTCACAAAATTCATAACAATGCTACATCTGAGAAAAAAAAACAGCCTAAACAGTATTATAATTGGACCTTCCCTCTAAGATTGCCTCACAGGTCAAAATCCAAAGGATTAGGAGTTCCTTGGTACTTACTGCAGGGTCTGGCACGCAGCAAGAGAAGGGTACCGCACATGCCTCTGGATTGTAACGACCGACTAATGTAGTACAGTTGAAGTAGACATTCATGTTCCAGTCATCATAGCCGTTCACTCCACAACATTTCAACTGTTTGCATCAGAAATTTAAAAGAGTTTTACCGGCATGCTTGTGATATCACGGACATAAATCTATTATGGTGTATTCTGTTAATTATGGATATGCTTTGCATCAATTATATGTACATTGTATATGCCTTTTTATACTGGAATGTATTAAACAAAAATATAAAATATGGTTATTTCTTACATCTGATTTCTCCAGTTCAAACTTAAAGATAAGGCTGAGTTTTGGGGAGAGGTGACAAATATTTGTGAGCATTGTCATTGTTATTTTGAAAATGTGAAAGAACATCAGAGAAAAAATGTTTCATGAAAAGCGTAGCACTTCAAATGCCTTTATGTTCTAAATATGACATGTAAACAGCTTAAATATGTGGGCTTCATCATTATGCCACATGTTTGTGTAGTCCCATATACATCTTTCTGTGTACAGTACTTGTTACTCTAACCAAGACTTGGCAAAAATTTCTTATCGTTCTAATGATTCCAGAACTTTTCAGTACACACCAATATACTTATATAGGCCTATGCTTGTAATCTTAAACATTCAGTGTAAGTTTTTTAAAGAGTTAGTTTAATGTTAAAGACTGGTTCACAAATAAATTCAAATTCTATGCATGCTCCTATAACAATATCTAATGACAACCATGCCTGTGGATGCCTGACATAGCAACATTCGGTGTTGTATCCAACCTACATGAAAATTCGGATATTAGTCTACAAATTATACCTTCACTTGCAATAGGTGAATGGAATAATTCTTCACCACTGACTTATGGCAGAAGCATTTCATCAATTTTGGTGCCATTTGCTACTTGATTTACTTCTACTTACCCCGGTTTGGAAGCCATCAATAATATCTTGAAAGTCAGCATTGTCCCTGTAGTTTGTAATAGCAACATCATCAATCCTGTTTGCCACAAACTCCTCAATCTGAAATGAGAAGGGGAAAAACACAAAAAGGTGTATACGGGACTACACAAACATACGGTATAAAAATCGTGCCTCATTTTAAAGCTGTTGCATTTCTTATTTAAGTTATAAAGGCATTTGAAGATCCATGCTTGTCATACCATCATTTTTTCTATGGTGTTCTTCTAAATTTGCAAAATAACAATGAAAATGCTCACAAATATTCGTCACCTCTACCCAAAACCCAACCTTATTGATCCCCTATGGTCCCCTTTTTCTTATGTTTATTGAGAGCTGATTTGATGAGATGACCACCTGTCAGTGACCATGCAGGGAGGTCTAATCTCCCTGCTATAAGTAGTGCAGTGGGGCTTAAATAAATTAAGCCTCGGTCACAAATACCACAACGAACCGCTACGAACGCCGTACGAACGATTTTCAGACCATTTCTGGGCACCGACCTTTAATCAAGCGTTCGCCGTCGAGCTATTTAGGTCAAAAATCGAAGCCGGTAGGTCAAAGGCTGCCGAGCGGTCGCCGCCCAGTTGCTGCCCGGTCGTCGCTGGGAGATCAGTCGGTCACTGGGCGGCGAGATCAAAATCGGTCAGTAGCATTTGACGTCGCAGCTTCGATTTTTGACCTAAATCGCTCGACGACGAACGCTCGATTAGGTCCGGGCAGCGACCGCCCGGGCACCGAGCGTATTTTGGTGCCCCATCGATCACCGGTCGGCCGCCGGGCGATTTCTTTAAAATCAGCCGTTGGCCGGTGGGGGACCGCTCGGGAATCGGCGGGTCATCAGTTGGTCACTGCCGGGACGCCGGCTGGAGAAGCTCCCCGATTTCGCCCAATTTTGACCTAAAATCGACCGGCGATCGACGAAAATTCGACAGGGCTCCGCCTAGGCATCACTGGGGCTCTAGAGCCTCCTCGACTCCTCCAAAAATCGTTGGGCGATGCCAAAATTTCAGTGGCGACCGAGCAGGTAACAAATCAGCCGGTCGCCGCTCTTAGTTGTGATCATAGCTAAAGTCTTTGGTCTATGCTGTTTGTTGCTACAGGCAGCAAGTGAAAACGAATTCGCTTCATAAAATTATGGAAATGCAAGCAATACTTTAAACAAACGGAACTTTGTTATTCCTAGCTCATTTTTTATCCATTGAGGTGTCATATGAAAGGGCAAAAACTGAACTTTCTAAAAATGTGGTTTTCTCTTTGGAATTCAAATACCGTCCGCCATATGAATTCTTGGTACCCTTTCTTCGAATTGATTTGAATTACTCATGCGTGAAAAATGCATCATATGAGTTACTTCAAATGAAGGAGAATGATTTAAGCTCTACGAATATTTGTCATTTATTAATCATAATTGTGATCAGGTTATGATAAAACATTTTTTTTTTTTAACAGTTTTTTTCTGGTACGTACTGTAAATTGTCTGTAAACAAAAGAAGACCTCCAAAAGCAAAGTTGACATACCGGTAAAATGACATGCACTATGATATACAGGTCAGTCAAAAATAAGTAAAACCAAGTGGATATTTGGAGCACCTTATCATGTTACTTGTAAATGTACTTACTTGACCTCTGAATATATAGAGAGCAACTCCTCCTCCGATTTCTAGAATCAACATCAGACAAAGAACTGTGATGTACTGTTATGGAATAGAAAAGAAGAAAAGAACGAGTTGATTGGGCATTGATTTAGTTTGTTCCTTATACACATCCTGGGCTTATATTTTTGCAACAAAGTTTGTGGTGAATTTATAAAGTAAATGTGGGCAGAAATGTCGAGTATGAAAGTAATACTGGTACAAATGACCGGTATACATGTACATGTAAACCACTTTAAAAAAAAACACTCATGCAATATATAAAATTTTTGATGAGTAAATGAACAACAAATGCGGGTGAAGAAAGGTGCTGAGCACAACAAATACCCCTAAGCGTAGAGATGAACTTTCTCATCTTTAAGTTGGAAGATACACATTGTGGAGTGTATACAACATTATGTCATTGTAATTTGTCCGAATTTTTCTTTTCTGGTCATCCTATTATTATTATTACAATTATTAGGTAACAAGCACAGTTTACTTGTACCTAACCCTACATCTTGCACACAGATCCCTCGTCTTAAGTTATTTGTAAGGGGAACGGCAGGCCCTGGCTAGCATTACCACCCCTCCCCCTCGCTGTTGACTTGAATCTTACTGTTTTCAGAAGGCACGTATTTTCTCGTAGTGCACCAATGCAGCCTAACGTGGCCATGACGAAGATGATGACACCAATGAGTGCAAACCACAGTATGGGGTCCAGGTACCATGATGTGACAAACTGGTCCAGGTTCTCAAAGAAGCCCTGTAAAGAATATAAGTAATACCACTTGATTGAACAAGTTTTACACGAGGAAACGAATTGTAGGTTGCGATACCCCACCAATTTACATAGGTTCCTGTGTCACCATGGTGGGGTATATTTTAAACATGAGATTTACGTAATGTGATTAAAGATGAGATATTTCATGTCAGTATCTAATATCTCTCATCACCCTTTGTTATCGAATTCATCTGAAATATATTTATTTTACTCAGTCAATAAACCGTTTTCCAAGTTTCTTATTTATTTATTTTTCTTTTTTTCTTCTTTTTTTTTTCTTTCTTTCTCTCCTTTTCCTTATTCCTCTTTTTCATATTGTTCTCCTCCTCCTCTTTTTTCTATTTGTTTTTTTCCTTCTCCTTTGTCTTCTTCTTCTCCTCCACCATAATCACCATCATTTAAAACTGATAATACAAATTAAATACATGTTTTAGTCACACTTTTTAGAACTTGAAAATAATGATATTACAATTGATGATTATGATGATGACAATGATATTGATAATCTGATTTTCATTAAATTAAATCATTAATGAGATCATTTTATTTGAATTATCAATATTTCGTGATTTTAAAATCAAAGAACTCACCCTATCTAGCCATGCCCAAACTCCAATTGCTATAAGTCCAGCACCAGCAAGCTGTACAAAATAAAGGCATAGAGATCATAAATTGTACAATGCTATAATATCACATACATTACTAAATACATGTACAGTATACCTTCAGAAGTCAATGAATTCAAAATTCAAAGATAATAAAAACATGAACAACCACAACATCAACTATGATTATAACAATATGGATAATAATAATTATAATATTGATAATGATAACTAGAAATATCGCAATCTCCTTTGCCGCGCAATGCAAATGTATCCCCCGGCAGTGTCAGCGATTTTTATGTCATCCTTATGTTTAAGGAAGGGACAAAGATCCCCTTTCCCCTCCCTGAAACAAAAGATTGACGTAGAGATCGCCACTGGTGGCTCGGACCTGGCTCGGACTATTCTCAAGAATAGGAGCAGCATCACCAAACAATGTACATTAGAGTATAAGGCATCTCTGTAGAAAATTTGAAAAAAAAATGTCATGAAATGTGACCTGCAGAGCGACACAAGATATCCCCTAAAATATGAACTGTTATGATATAACAGACGGAACACAGATGGCAGCATCACCAAACGCTAAAGATATTTGTATACATTTAATAAGACACACCTCCATACACAATTTGAAAGAAATCCGTCAAGAAATGTGGCAGTTAGAGCGCTTAAAAGACATATGACCTTTGACCCTATAAAACATCGGACACTGGAGGGAGCATCACCACAAACTTTACGTGCTTAGCATTTACCAACATATATATAGACACTTCCACACAAATTTCGAAAGAAATCCGTCAAGAAATGTTTCAGTTAGACCGCCCACTAGAGTGCACACAACACATCTATCAAATTATCCCCTTTGACCCTATACACAATTGAACACTAGAGGCAGCATCACCAAAATTAATAGGCTTGTAGATTTTACCAAGATAAACCTATGTTAAAACTTTGAACAGAATCTCTTGACAAATGTGACCTATAGAGCACACACAAATATGGCGTTTTACCCTATAGAAGCCGGAACACTGGGAGCAGCATCACCACAAAGTATAGGTGAGTAGATTATACCAAGAAACATAGCCATCGAAATAAATCCGCCAAGGAATGTGGCAGTTAAAGCGCACAAAAAAATAAATGAATATATCAAAGATTTATTGCATTTCCCCCGGTCCCCAACAATAAAAATTCCTCTGTAGGGCAATGCATTAAAGGTCAAGGCATGCCCACATAGAGGATTTTTTTTTATCTTAGGGGTCGGAGCAAAATGCAATGAATAATTGAACATTTATTGCATTTTCTTTGTTTTTTTGTATTTGTGGGGCGGCGACGTACCCTAGCCCCCGCTGCGTAGAGTCATGACTCAGTGGCTAAGCAATGGCCCCAGGATCAAAACCGTGTCGATATGCTTTATTAGTGCCCTTTTATGAGGCATTATTCCTCATTACTGTCAGTTATGACTTAAGGACGTAGGTCCCCTAGTAGATTAGCATAGTAGAATACACATGATTTAGCAGTCACGCAAAACAAACACTCACAAAGTATTTTTCAATAAAATTTGAGAATGTATACTATTATCTAGATCTAGTAGGAATAAATCATTGTTAAAATCTTTCCATAAATCGGGGTAAAAATTATTCCACCATTATGACCAACAGTGTATATTTCTTTTCACTGCCATTATGGGTTAAGGATTATCTCAGTAACCGATTTCAGTTTGTCCAGTGTGGTCAAACGTTATCAGAAAGGAAAAAGATAAGATGTGGTGTTCCACAAGGATCAGTATTAGGGCCAACTCTGTTTTTAATCTATATAAATGATTTGCCAACTGTTACTGATTATTTCAATTTTCGGCTGTTTGCCGATGACTCCAATCTATTTCATACTTTTTCTGCTGACCAGGGTGAAATTGATGTAAATGAAGTGAATAACAACTTACAGAAGATACATAAGTGGTGCACTTCTAACAAACTTACAATCAATTCAATGAAAACTAATTTCATGTTAATATGTAGTAGGAGGAAAAAATAGGTATAAATGGTAAACTAAAAATCGCTGGCGAGGAAATTAAAGAGGTTGATGTTGCCACTTTTGTTGGGGTTCACATTGATAGACATTTGTCTTGGAAGAGACTGTTGGAGTGCTATTTAGATTGTGACATTTTGTTCCTAGCCGTACTTTGATATTATTATATAAAGCATTTATACAACCACATATTTCTTACGGAATAGAGGTGTGGGGAAGCACTTATAAGACTAGCCTAAGAAGTATATTATATTCACAGAAAATGGCAGTTCGTGCCATAACATTTAGTGAATGGAGAACTCCTTCAGATCCATTATTTAAAAGATTGTGAATCCTAAATGTGTATAATTTACATGAGTTATCAATTTCTACTTTCATGTTTGATCTAGTCAATGGCAATTTGCCTCATATTTTGATAGAGTATTGTGACATTATAGAACATAGCTATTCCACAAGACAAAAAGAAGATGGACAATTACGTCTTCCAAATTAAGAACGACACAAGGTCAATTTTCATTGTCTTTTGTGGGCAGTGAATTTTGGAATAGATTACCTGTTGATGTCAGACTGACAAGGTCTAGAAATAGGTTTCGGAATTCTGTTACAAGTCATTTGTTGAATAAGTCATGAATGAAATATCAAGTGTACACAATTCATAATTCATATTTTACATTATTAGTTTGTATATTGTAAGACATTGTTGAGTACTGATTCTTGTTTTGTCTAAGTTTCGATTGTAACAGTAAATTCATTATTTTTTGTTTTGTTACGTTCTGTAAACTGATTTGTAACAAAATACTTTGTTTAGCTGTTTAAGGGGTTAGGCTCGACTAGCACATGTGCTATTATCCAGCCCCTTTTACCAACCAATAGTTTCTCTTTCTGTATATGTAATTATTGTATAAAATGTATGGAATGTATTGCTGTTGGTAAATAAATAAATCAAAATCAAATTATAAATACATGTACATATGCATGTACATGCATGAATTTATATTATATGGAAGTACTCTAAATATCTTTAAATCCCTTTATATCTAATGCATACTACAACATAGATGATAATTTTTATGTTAAAACCAACATCGGGAGAGGGTGAAGGTATGTCAGATGTACATGTACATGTAAGTACACATTGCAAAAAAAGAGGAGTAATATTGTACAAAGAACAGACTCGACCATGTGCGTGTAAACTTGTTGCTTCTTATTCTATTTTCAACCATATTTGCAAACAAATAGAAACACTGATTAAGAGTAGGGCATAAGTCATAGCTGTACACAATAGAATATCCACTATGCAGCTATCAGCAATTGTGCTTCCTTGTGTGATCATGATTGAACGGTTTTGAACAATGTTGGGTGCGGGAGATCTACATCATGAAAACAAAATTCAATTCCAAATTCTCTCTTTCTACATGTACATTACATGTAGACCGTCTCTCGAGCTACATTGTACATGACCTTGTAGGCCTTAGCCATGTAGTTTCAAAAAATACATTTCAAATTCAAAATCACAAACGGTGTACATGTTCAGTTCATGCTCCTGTAGAGATTAATACATGTCTCTCCTTCTCTCTCTCTCTCTCTCTCTCTCTGTTTATCCCATTCTCTCTAAATTTATAAAAGGTATCTGTTTAAATCTGCATACAAATCATTGTTTTGTTCTCACTTGTTTGTGTTCTTACTCATGTTTCTTTGTTTATAATGTACATGCTTTTACGTGATCTCTTCCTCTTTTTTCACGAGCGCGCCTGGAGCGTCTGCTCTGGGTTTGGCACCTTATAAATCTCATACATGTATGCTATCATCATTATTAATAAATTGCTCTTTCTCTTTCTTCCTTCCTCTCTCTCTCTCTCTCTCTCTCTCTCTTTCTCTCTCTCCCTCTCCTTCAGCCAGCTTGATCTCATGGCTCCCACACTCACCCCATGATTACAGTACATGTAAGTCTGTACGGTAGGAGGAATATTACTACAGAGCAAAAATAACCTGGCAGAGCCAATTGATTTTCGTTTTCTTAACAAAAACAATTTTAGGATCGTTCTGTATATGGAATTGAATGTTCTCTGTCCTATCCAATTACCTATCATTATCATAATTTATCATTAAATAGACTATACTGTTCACATGTTTACATGTGTAGAGTATACATGACTGTCACTAGCATTATCTATTAATATTTTATTTTACTTTGTTATAAACTTATACACATTATATTATATATACATGTATCTGTTTGAATTAAATAGATATCAAATTTAAAATATACACAAAATTCAGATTTATCTGACAAGTTGTCAAATTTATTTCTAATAGAGTTTACTCTAAATCAAATGGTCTACTCACCCAAAATTTGAAATTTGCAAAGAACAGTGAGTATTTTTTGCAGAGACTAATTTCTGATTGGCGAACCATTTTGTGCCTGGCCTGTTGTTGCTATAGAAGTTGATGCAGTTGTTGCTGTTTTTTTTTTCTTCTTTTGCATCCAGAACCAGTTGGGTTAAGCGTGTGGTACGC